CTAAGGAACCCAAATGCAGAGATGACCACGTCCACAGGAGGGTTGCTAGTCTCTGACCGGCCACTTTCCAGGCAGTATAATGAAGTAAAGGAAAGAAGGGACCGCAGTGAAGACTCCAATCTTACTGACTCTTCCATTTCTACAAGTTCTCCTGTGTTTGTTTGTTTGTTGCCTTTTAGTTCTGCCTTGTCTTTTTACCCACTTCCTTTATTTTGGTTTCCATCTTTTATCATTTTAGTCATTCTTAAAATATGCGTATTTGTATGATGGACTTCTCTGGATTATTCTGTTTCCTGTAGTTCAAGCCCCGTTTGTTATCTTGCCGCCGCTCTCTCAGAGGATCATTTCCTCGTGGGCCCTGCCTTCCACATGTCCAGAGGGCAAATCATCTGCTGTCATTGTCTTTCTGTGTGGCTCTTAACACCTGCTGTCTTAGTCTGTTTAGTGTTGCTATAAAGGAATACCTGAGGCTAGGTGATTTACAAAGAAGAATGCTTTTATCTGCCTCATGGTTCTGCTGGCTGGAAGACTGGGCATGACAGCTTTGGGCTGCTTCCACTCACAGTGGCAGGGATCACATGGCAAGAGAGGAAGCAGGAGAGAGAAAGGGAGTACTGGGCTCTGTTTAACAACCAGCTTGTGCAGTAACTAATAAAGTGAGGACTCACGCATTACCAAGAAATGACACCAAGCTATTCATGAGAGGTCCCTCCCCGTCACCCAAACATCTCCCATCAGGCTCCACCTCCACCATGGAGATTAAATTTGAATGTGAGGTTTAGAGAGGGCAAATATCCAAACTGTAACTCCCGGTTTGAGCCAAATTTTACATCAATTTCTCAGCTTCAAGATCCCCACTCCTTACGGAAAAGTATAAATCCATGCTGTGTCCATTGCAGGGCCCTGGCTTGGGGTTTCCATTGTCTCTTAAGGCTTTTCCGTCTCCTGGGCCTCAGGCAGAATGCTTCCTTATCCCTCCCTCGGCCCACTGCGGAAAGTGCTTCTACTCTCCTCTCATTGAGGGGATGCAGTTTCTGGGGTCCTAGACTTAAGCAGGGTTTCAGTTATAGTTGTCTTACCTCCAGGGGGCCAAGGTCATTCTTCTTGTCACCGTATGGCTTTTTAAACCCCCGTTTATGTCCTGTATCCAGGTTTGTTATTCCCGAGGGCCATGACCAATTTAGCTCCCCATCTTCCTTTTCTTTATAGAAGGAAGAAGGGAGGCATTTGCTGCCAAGTGTGCATTTTTTTATGGCAAGAGTCCATACCTTTCGTCAGATGCTTAACAACGTTAGCAATAATTGCTGAAGTACAGTGTGAAAATACACCAATTAAAAAAGTAGATTTTTAAGGGCAGTTGTTCACGTTACCACAGAAGACTACCTCACAAAATATTTTATCAGATATTTCCTTCTGTTAACTTAAGCTTGTCTCATGACTTAAAATACAATTTAACTTATAAGTTTGTATTTCTTTTTCTTTTCCTTTTTTTTGAGATAGAGTCTCACTATGTCACCCTTGATAGAGTGCTATGGCGTCACAGCTCACGGCAACCTCAAACTCTTGGGCTTAAGTGATTCTCCTGCCTCAGCCTCCCAAGTAGCTGGGACTACAGGCACGTCCCACAATGCTCAGCTATTTTTTTCTTGCAGTTGCCATTGTTTTTTTTTTAGCTGCTTCAGGCTGGATTTGAACCCACCAGCCTCAGTGTATGTGGCCCACACTGTAACCATTGTGCTATGGGCACTGAGACTATAAGTTGGTATTTCTTTAGCAACTTTTTAAGAACTCATTGGAGAAAGTGAAGTTCATCAGTACAAATAAATTAGACATAATCCAGGACACAAAAGGAACTTCATTTCCCCATAAGTTTTGCCCTTAAGAGGAGGGAGTTGGTAAGCAATCAGATGCCTTCCACTCAGTAGAAGGCAGATGAACAAATAACTTGGTTGGCATCATGTTGATAGAAGTCATTAGATCACAGTGGGGGAGTTGAGTTGTAGAATCAACCAACCTGAAAAGATGTAGAGATTCTGCTCAGGGGCTTGGGAAACAGTTGAGCTGCTCAGCATTATGGAAATGGTACGGTTTCCCTTCCACAGATGAAAATGAATGTGATCGAAACAATGGTGGCTGCAGTGAGATCTGCGTGAACCTGAAAAACTCCTACCGCTGTGAGTGTGGGGTTGGCCGTGTACTCAGAAGTGACGGCAAGACTTGTGAAGGTGAGGAGGGGTAAGAAGGGACTCCAATCAGGAACCCACAGGAAGCCATCGGCTTATTCTTTGATGTTTAGGAAAATGTGTTAGTGTTAGAAGA